TACCAAGGGATCCCACTAAAAAGGTCCGTCCGTAGGCAAAAAAACCCGGTACCCACAGCAGAACCAGAAAGGTTGTACCGTGCGGAGGAATCGGGGGCCACAGGAAAACAACAGGGTGACAGGGGGTAGAGCGGAAAGGGAGAGAAGTGGAATCAGCTCACACGGAAGAATATTTTGAATACATATTTATAGATACATAAAAAGGGCCACGCTGAAGGAGGTTAAGCAGGAAGAAATCAAAGGAGTGCTCTCTACAAAAGTAGATGGAGGAATGAGAAGGAGCGTGAGCAAGAACAGGCGCTGACATCAAAGCAGGACGGGTCTGCCAGGAGAGGGAGAGGTGACCAGAGCAGCAACGCCGGGTGGCACACGGGCTTTAAACTTCAACCTTGTACGAAACCCAGGGCTAAATCATTAACTGTTGGACAAATAAGAAAATATTACCTCCTTCCCAAGGTGTAACAGTTTGTTATTAGGACAATTCCACCAGTTCCCCACAGTTTTATTTGCTCGAGAGAGTGGCTATTTATTTCACCATTTATCTTCCTTTTCTCTTGTAGCAGAATTGCACTGACACCGATCCCGCGGCCAGCAGCGCTGCTGAAGCCAATGCCAGATCCCCACTGATGCCAACGGGATTCACCCACAAGACTGCTACAGCAGCAACCCCTTACTGACAACATCTTTTACCGAATCGTAAAAGTATTTCCTCAGGAGAAACCAAAACAAAGGGCACGGAAAAAGTCCAGTGTTCAAAGTATACCTACACCTTAGGTCCCAAGTATCCAATAAGATATGAAACCACATTTGGTGCAAGCAGTCCAGCGCTCAGACATGTAGAAGTTTTGCAAGGAGAGCTAACCAAGTAAACAAATCCAAGAGGCAGGAAGAAACAGGGCTGACACGCACTGTACATCCACCAGCACCACTTCATTGCTGGCTTTGGCAGCAACCACAGCTTCTCTTATCAGCAAAGATACCTTTGAAGTGGCTGGCAAGCGTCCACCGAACACTCAAACAAATAAGACCCTCCACATCCGAACACAGCCCTGGAGAGGGATCTCTTCATCATAAGATACGAACAGAAAAATGGAATGAGACAAAGCCACAGACCACGCGGGCTTTCCCCGACACCGCGAATCCGAACGCTGCAAACATAAACCCTCCGAAAACCTGTGCGCAATGCAGGCACCACTGCTGGAATTTCAGAAGTTCACTCATTTCAAGACTGACCCATCCAAGCTCGACCATCAGCGCTGCTGTGCCCTTCGTCTAACTGGTCCAGGGGTCCAAGAGTGGACACACAGGAAACTGTCTCAGCCTGGGGATTCTCCACCACAGTCACTGGAAGAGACAACCCCCATGTTGCCACCACCACTGACGAGAGCCTGGTTTGCCCACCTCGGGCTCCGTGCTGCTCCGGCTGCGACACATCCAGCTCCCACCCCGCTTCCCTCCCCATCTCCGCTGCCCTTGAGGATGTGTTTCCTTCCCAGCGCAGACCTTATCACACCCACCCAGGCCCTTTGCAGCCTTAAGGCTGGATTACAGCTGCATGCTGTACTTGGATCTCTCTCGTTTGAAAATCATCACCACTTCAGACGCAGCACGATACAGCAACTCAAGAGTTTAGCAACAAAAGGGATCTTAAGCGCATCCTTCTTACCCTGTCTGTCCTTCCTAGCCCACCTGCTCACTCCCAGCGCGATACGAAGCACTGATGCGAGAAAGCCCTAAACCATAAACGGCCCAAGAAAAGGATCTCATGCCTCAGGATTTTATTTCAGCTGCCCTCAGCAGCTGAGGATCTCTGTATCGCTGTCCTCACCGTACTTCAGAGCATTATTTGCTGAGATGGAGCACCACACTAACTCAGCAACGCCATTCAGAGCTCGTTCCCATTTGAGTTTTGATTGGGACCTCCAAATTTGCCTTCCACAGCTTCAGGGGAAGTTTCACAGCATGGCATAGCAGCATTATTTTCCATGTAGCTCCTGGATCAACTACATCTGTTTCAAGGCTGCTAAAAAGCGCTCAGTTTTCTGAGCTGTCACATACTGTGGTAGCTCCTCTCCATTAAAAAATGGGAAAGGAGGTCTCAAAAGTTTAAAAAAGAATGGGAGAAGCTAAGGGGAGAGGGAGGAGAATGTTCTTTTAGATTTTCTCATCAGTATGACTAATTTCCCTTTGGGCTAGCATGGTTTTAACTTCCAGTTAGAGGCACAAAAATACATGCCACTCCTAAATATCTTGCTGACTCACCTCACTATTCCCCTTCGACACCTACAGACATTGATCAGAAAGGCATCCCCGCTTTGCCAGCGACTTGCTGAGCAATCACAGCAAGTGACTTCATCTACTTATCCCCGTTTTTTCATCCAGGAAAAGGTGCAATTTGTCTGCTTATGCTCCAGAGATATTCTGGAGAAGGTTTGTATTGCTCTTGGGATATACCGAGTGCGGTAAGCATGCTACATTGGGGTTTTACAAATAGCATTTTTTTTTAAACCCATGGACTATAAAGCTGATTTGCAGTATTTTAACCGCACACCACATCTGTTTTCTAGCCTTTTGTACCGATTCATGTCGCTTCCCGGGGCTCAGGAAGGTAAGAGATCCTAGCGAGAAAGCACAAGTAGCGGCAGATCCAACTTCAGCCAAATTTCTCTATTTATCAGCTGCTATTTTATTCAACTACGTTGCTCTCCAGATAAGACAGGATGGAAATTTTGTTTTTAACCACCCAGCACAAGTGCAATACTTATCTAATACCCGCTGTGGCCTTCAGCCAGTTTGGTATGCCTGGCAAAAAGGCAACAAGTAGTTGGAATTTAGTAACAAGCGCCTTTTGTTTGCACCAATTCATACGGAGTCTGCGTTTGGTCTGCGAGAAAGAAACCCAAGGGGTATTTTGTTGGTGGTCGATTATTTGTTTTTATTCAAGCCCTACTGCCCAAAATAAACCAGGGCAAAACCATGCTTATACAAGGGGCTGAAAATTAAGATGCTAGTTTCCAGCCCAACTGGGATAATATCAACTTCCATGTACTTCTTTGCAGAGGCATTTTCTCAGCCACCTTCCTCAAGCACAGCCATTGTTGAAATTCAGTGGGGAGATTACTTATCCTTTGGAAGGATTAGAGGAATTGAAGAGGAACTGCCATTCAATAATCCCGTGTAAGTATCTAATCAACCATAATGTAATTACCAGAAAGTTTTAAAAGGTCAAAAAGGCCTTAGTGTGACATCACTTGAAAAAGAGAAGGTCCCTCCTCTGCTTGAGCAGCATCTCAAAAAAAGAAGTAAAAGAGAAACAGAATCTAACACTTGAATATCTTTTTCATACTCCGTTGCTATCCATTAAAAACTCAAGAAACGTGCAGAGGACAAGGAACACAACAGCGCACTTGCACTTATTTTCATTCTCCTATAGAAATCAGTTGCCACCACACACAAATACCCGCTGTAAAAGAGCAAACGCATCCTGCTCTCCAGGCCACACACAACCAGACGCTGTGCATTCAAGTGCATCTTGACATCAAGTATCATGCACAATATTGAGCACGGTTCATTTTCTTGCAGCCTAAACAGACCACGTTATACAGACTCTCTTTATCAGTTAAAGCAATATAGACACGTTAAAAAATACCTGAACGCCCTTTCCGCGAGACATCTCAAAAGACTGTCAAGACCAGAGTGAAAAGCCAACAAGTGCCAATGGGCACAAGCTGAAGCAGAAGAGGTTCCAGTTGAACGGGAGGAAGAACTTCTTGACTTTGAGGGTGCCCGAGCCCTGGCCCAGGCTGCCCAGGGGGGCTGTGGAGTCTCCTTCTCTGGAGATCTTCAACCCCCACCTGGACGCTGTCCTGTGCCCCCTGCTCTGGGTGAGCCTGCTTGGGCAGGGGGGTGGCACTGGGTGAGCTCCTGAGGTCCCTTCCAACCCTTGACATTCCATGATTCTGTGATTACTGCTGACTGCACCTAAACAGATTTTAATTTTAAAGTCACACACTACTCATGTGACTCTTTTTTAATACAACAACTGACACCGCTGAAGGCAAAATGACAGACATGAAGATACGCCAGGAGTTTTTTTATCAAAATTGTTCCTCTTCTGTTTCTCTCTCAGAGGCAATGGGATTTAGGATGAGTCCGAACAAAAGTATTTTTTAGAAAGCTCGAGCCCTTCTGCAACCCCTTCCTCTAGGCCTTGCAACAGCAGAAATAACTCTCCAAGATCACGACACTTTGCAAGGGGGCGGGGAGTGGGGGAAAGAAATTGCTTTCAAAGTTAGAATTGCAATGTTTTGAACACGTTAACTAGCAGATGTTACAGCAGTCGACAAATCTCTGAAGAGACCAGGCAATACCATTTAATAGGAGTTTCAAAGCTTCCATAGAGTGTTTCTTCAACTGGAAGAACAGATTCTTAATAAAAAAATGCCCTCCCACAACTGTCTCACCTTTTTTTTCCAGGTGGAAATCAAGGGGAGAGAAAGGGGACAAGGCTAACAAAAGAGACCTCAGCTGCACTTTCTCCTTTTTCCGGAGAGGGACAATACATCCTTTTGTTAGCCAGCATAGCAAGAATTCTCCCTAATTTTCTTTTAACAGTAGTTTCTCCTCCATGTTGGATATAAATTTGTCTTTAGAGACTTGTTCTTGATGATATTCAGGAGTTGAAAACCTGGAGGGTTTCTGCTTATTTAACAAAATTTTCAAAATGCAGAAAAACTGCGAGCAGGTTAAGAGGAAAAACCATGGCCTGAATTTAGACCAACAAATCTCACCTGACCACTTCAGGGAAAATCCTAAAATCCTAGAAAAAGAAAATTACTACAAAAATCAAAGGTAAGTCAAGCACAGTTATCCAGAAAGAGGAAGAAAGCCTCATGTGTTAGGCACTGTCAACAATAAATTGATCCATCAGAAGTAATAGCCAAACCTTTGTATTTCAGAAGGGCCAAACAAAAAAAATATGCATTGTAGCACTCAGTTACCTTCTTGAATAGGCGCCCCGAATCTTCGCTGACCTGGACAAAGCGCGGGATGATGTTGTTGAGATAGATGTCGCTTAGGGTGGTGTGATCCCTGCTCTCCCGCTTCACTTGATTTAGCAGGAGATTCCAGCAATTGACGGGTGATAGCACATTCTGATCCTTCCTATAAAGGACACAAAATAGAAACAAGAATTGGATAGGGCTTCACCTGAAGTGGACAAAATTATTCTCTTCATGATGTTCTGTATCTACAAACGCTAGAAACCCAGTTAGGGGACTTATAGATTTGTTGAGGGAGAGGAGAGCAGAGGAAGGCTATAAACCGGCTATTGGACACACAGAAAATACGCCCTCAATTACACATGACTACATTCACATGGCCATGGGCTTTTGTCCCCCAACAAACAGATCAGGCAAATGCAAGCTACAGGACGCCAAATGTAGGCTCTAATTTTTTCTTTTGATTCCAAGATTCTGTGCCCAAATTCCAGTGCCTGAGGGAGAGCGATGGCTCCAGTGTCTGACAATAGGTTTCACAGCGCGGACATTTGTGACTTAACCACAATAAAAAGATTTCAAGCATCCAGTTAGCTAAATAGCATCTGCATAGGAAACAAAATGTTATGTTTCATGTACAGAACCAACTCTGCGCAAGCATCTGTGTCGGTCCTGAGCAAAAGAGAAAGCAACATTCATTAAGGGCCGTGTAGACGTGGTGCTTAGGGACAGGGTTTAGTGGTGGAGTTGGCAGTGCTGGGTTAACAGTTGGACTTGATGATCTTAAAGGTCTTTTCCAAGCTAAACGATTCCGTGATTCTAGCGTTTATACAACCAGCTTTATTTTTTCATCTTTGAACTTTCTCCACCTTATTATGGCTGATTCACGCTGCACCCTGCATGTAAGCAATACAAAGGGCAAAAGGGGAGATGAAATGTTGATCCAAATAAACTGAGGTTCATTTCATCTGCTGAAAGGAGTAAGTCATTTCTTAAGGCACCATTTCATGCCAGATGAAAGCAAGGCCATTAACAGGGATTTTGCACGGTCCTCGAGCAGCCCCACAGCAGCGGTTGGAACTGGCAGACCTAGGTGTAGTCTTAACTACATCATTTACTTCTCTCCAGATCTGTTTATCATTTGTTTACAGTACAATAATATTTATTTAGAAAACAGTAAGCCAGATCTCTGGTGGAAAGCCAAAGCTCTTCCTGATTATTGTATGCGATTGTATCAGATTTCTTTAATCTTAAAAGAAATGCGGTTTAATTTCCATTGAAAAAGGGAAGATTCTGCACATAAAAGGACAGCAATCTCTGCTGCAAGAAATGCCTGACATTGTGGAAAACATGAAAATCAAGCCATGGCAGACTTTCATGACATCAACAGTTGGATTTGTAGCACAATATGGATAATTTTCGATAAAGAATAGCAGCTTCAGAACAGCTGATCTTGGTGCTTTGTTTCTTTTCCTTAAAAAAAAGAAAAGCTCAGGAAACGACTGCGCCTTGTGATCTGGACTGCTTCAAGGTTTGGAGTGTGTGTTTTGGGAGGGGGTATGAAAAGGACTCTGGGCTTTTGGTTCTCCTGGTGTTTTAAGTAGAAAAAAACCCAGAAAATAAAATGTGAGAAGGCAAAGATTTTATTCAGAGAAAATATTTTCCTTCATACTTGAGTGTCCTGTATGGCAGATACTGTTGATGCGCAAAACCTGATGCAGAACTGTACAAGGTCGAAACTGCAGCTTATATAGAAATCAAATAGCTGCCCCCTGATCTGCAATCAGTGTTTGCAGCATACCATTTGTTTTGTTAATATTCCAGAGAGCTAATTAGTAACCGCGAAACCTGGCTGATAGAACTGTGACTCTATGGGTACGGACCACGCTGCAGCGAGCCCCCGAAGGGCGCAGGCGGAGATAAGAAGCTCTGACTCCCACTGAAACAGAGATAAAAGCTGCCACCACAAGAGAAGGCAACATACACATTAAAGGTTTGTTTGGGTTTTTTTAATTTATTTAGGTGGGACAAGAAACAACACCCAGCTTTCTGCCACTAAAGAGAGGGCAGGAGGAGGAAAGGCTTCTCCAGAAGAGCTCCTCCAAGGAGCAGCGCTGGGTCGGAGGCGTACGCACCATCTCTACCAACAAACTGTGGGTCGGGTAGAAGGGGGGAAGAAAACTAAGCAAGATAGCATTGTGGATGGTTGTAAAGAGAAGTTTCTGAAGGACAGTACTAACAGATGTTAAGAGTTGGTTGGTTTGCTCCTTTACGCCAATGATACAGAAGTACTTCACACACCGACTTCCTATTTGCCCTCTAAAGCTGGAAGAGCTACAGCAAGTGAAAATTAATTAACTACCATAAAAAGTTTGGGAATGAAACTTAGGAACAAAAAGCTCCGACTCTCCACCAGCTGATCTCGTTCTAGCCATTTGAAATCCTGCCTGCAAACCCTTAACAGCCTGTTAGTGCTTCATCACGTCGCTGCTTCCCTCTCTTCCTAAGACGGGTGCAGCCGCAGAGCTCTGCGCAGCCAGGCGCCGTCCAGCTGCGTGCAGCCTTCTCAGGCTTTGTACCACTCATCTGCGCGAGCTGCCAACCCAAAACCTCAGCTGCTTTGATCCCTAATATCTCCCATCGCATTCTCCCTCTCGTTAAGAATTCGTGCTACCTACTCCACTAAGAGCACCCAGCTGTTCTATCAGTCCAAGCCCACCTTGAGCGGCTCGGAAGGGCTGTGAGCAGCAAGGACCAAGGGTTATGACCATAGACAAGAGTACATGCAAGGGACCAGAGAGCAGCACAGTACGAGTGCCATGCTTTCCAATGAAAGCTGAAGCACCAAATGGGAACCAGAAGAGATGCAATAGTTAACTGGACAATTCCCAGCTGTCCAGGCTGCCCCACCACAACACCCGAAGCTATTCTAAGGCAGCACATAGCACAAATACCAAGAGCCCATGAAAAGCATGGCGAGTAAAATTGCTGGTGTCTAATGGCGCCAGATGGGTTGTTGACACACTCCGTGTGGTTAGACATGAAAGGCCATCCTGCAGGAAAAAATAATCACAACCCCACATGCTTCCAATCCGCGACCGGGATTGTCACCTTCGGCTCCGCGCAGCCAGCGCCGCACCCTGAGCTCAACCTCATGCAACCGCAGCTCTGCGCGCTTCAAGATTGTTTCGTTTCAATTCCTTTAATTTCTTGGTGTCTCTTGGTTCACTAACCCCTTCAGCACCTTGTCAGAATGGTCAGCCTTGCTTTTGTACAGGTTCAGCGTTTGCACGGCAAGGTTTTTACAGGAAGCAAGACAAAAAAACTCTCCGTTATTTGCTAGTGACCATTTTCCTAGCCCCGGCACAAAGCAGATGAAGGCAGGCCTTAAGACAGAAATGAAACAGAAGAGGAAAGAGGCAGTTACTTGCTTCAAACCTTCCAAGTCGCCTTTAAAACTACGCACACATTAACTGTTAAAGCACCTCTCAAAACGCAGCATTTTCTGGGGTGGAACATGGCAACAGTTTTCACAACACAGAGCAGAAGTTATACAACTGTTTACAACAGACCCTTTTCTATCATAACCACAAGCAGATGGCAGAGAAGCACATTGCGATTTTCATTAACCATTGCAATTCTCCAAGGAGCTGGCAAATACACTCTGCTTCTAGTTTCGTGTCACCACAGAGGAGGGATGAAAAAGGGAAGAAAAATATGCAGAGTAGGGACCGCCGGGTGTAATCGAGAGCGAGCTCGATTTCCACAGACTCTGCAGAATGACTGGGGTTCAGTATTTGCCCGTAAGAAGTAAAATTGATGAGATCAACCCAAAATGTAGGACCCGGATATGAGCTTTCCCAAAGTGCTGGCGACTTCGCATTCACAACAACTGTTTGACTCAAGCTTCACCCACAAGGAGAGGAGGAGGAAGATGCCAAGACCCAGGGTTATTTCAAGCACTATTTATACTCGTTTAAAGATTGTGCGATGATAGTGAATCTGGAGAGTTTATTTAGGTTAGCCTAAATTACACCAGGTCACAGCAATCGGGGGTGTTTGGGAGCAGGAAGAGGAAGTTGTGCACAGATTTTTAAGGAACCACAAAGTACGAAGCTCTGTGGTTTCTCGGGTGTTATCTTGATCGGGTCCTGTGCAACTTCCACTTCAAAGGTTTCAGTCGGTCTCAAGAGATCAGAAGGGAAGATTGAGTCCCAAGTATCTGAAACGTCTTAATTAAATTACTCATTCATACAAGGAACTCCCAGACAATCCAAGATTTATCTGCTTTAAGGCAAGCGGGAGAGTGCGACAAACACAGGCGATGCTTAGCTGGGCGTTGCAAGGAAACCCCGTTCAGAGCAACAGCAGAAAAATTATCTTCAAAAAACAACCTTCTCCCCACCCCCTAGATTTAAAACAAAACAAAACAAAAAACAACATTACACCACCAAAAAAACCCCCCAACAAACCAAACCACACCCACAAACCAGGAATAGGAATATTGGGCTTCCATAAGGAGTGCAAGATGAAAGAATGAGTCAGATGAGAATGAAAATATTACTAAATAGAAAGAGAGAAACATTTAAATTAACATAGGCACGTCACACCATCCGTGTGAACGGAAAACTTCTCCGACCATCCCTCCTTCCAACTGAGGTTTCTAAAGCAATTCTCCTGGTGGTACATACAAACACTTAAGTTCCCTGTTCCACCTTCCTACCCCCCCCAAAACCATTCAGGATCTGTATCCTAGAGGCATGGAACATTTCCAGACCGGGTACATCCCAACATAGTGATGAAGATCCTGGGAGCCGAGAAAGTGATTGATCTCCCCCTCTGTGGAGTAACCTGCACACACAACCCTTCCCATCTCCCCAGCGACCCACGGGCTCGGGTCTCTGCTCTGCAGCACTGACCTCATGCCCAGCTCACCCAGCTACCCACTAAAATGAGCTAGGAGGTGAAGGGAGAGACTGAAATGTTATTTGCAGATCTGTGCAACTGTCAAGTCCACCCTGCAAACCATCACAGCTAGAGCTAGACTGAGTGTGAGAGCACACACGCAATTGTTTCTGCATGCACTTTTGCAAACCTGTCTGAATTTTGTCCTCCGCAGTGAATCATAGAATCATAGAATCGCTTTGGTTGGAAAAGACCTTTAAGATCATCGAGTCCAACCTTTAACCTAACCCTGCCATCCCACCACTAAACCATGTCCCAGTGTGCTCCCAAAACATAGCTACAGCGATACCAACCAATGCAGTGCGATAGTGGGATGGTGTGGTGAAAAACACAAAGATCCTCCCTGGGGTTTTACATCAATTTTTGCTGGTTGTGTATCCCTCTCTCTCTGGGACCTGATTGAACCCTGAATAAATGAATGCTTCATGCTTAGAAAAATCTTTCAAATGTTGTTATTTGAAAGACTCGGGGAAAAAAAAGTGTTCAGGACCCAGCTCCGTCAAAAAGAATTGCAGGTCAAAATAGCCTATGACGATATTTATCAAATAAAATAATAATGATAATGATAATAACGATAATAATAATGATAAGAATGATGATAAAAATCATAATAATAATGATAATGATAACAATAATAATAATGTAACTGAAGTCCACGTGACCCAAATGCTTTTGTCGATACCCCCCTCACAGCCTGCATCCTCTCTCCTTCAATGAAATCATGTCACTTTTAAGAAAACTAAAGTTGAACTTCTCTGCAAGCTGCTCATTCAAGTCGACGTTTGATTTCCCCTTACAGTCTTCCTGACACAGCTCGGTCTTAACTGCAGATTTTGAGAATTACAAGCATGGATGTACGCTGCTCCCTGCCCTTCTCTTCCAAGAGATTCCAGTTATGAACATCTGTTGTTTACAAGTGCTCAGCCTGAAGGTTGCCAGACTTATTCCGCATCTTCTACTTCAAGGCAAAGGCTGCCAGAAAGCCATCTGAATTTCATGCTGGGATATCCTGGACATTCAGCTCTCCAGCTGACAATCGCTACTCAGGATCCCACTTCCAAAGATTATCTTGATTTAAAATATGGCCTTAAAATAGCATTGTCTTTTCATTTTTTCTTCTTCTCTTTTCCTCTCCTCTTTTTCCCCATTTTCTCCCTTGAAAGGAATCACTCAAGGTTTGCCACGGTTTTTATATTGTTGACTGATTATTTGAATAGGCAAGTGCCTTTAGGACAAAATGACATGAAACGGGAGAACTGAAGCCTGGAGATGAAGGTCCCAGGGTCTCACTGCAGTGGGGGGGAGCCTTCCTCTGAGGATGGCAGTCAGACCCGCACCCGGCACTGCTGCCTGCAGGGACCCCCAGGACCCCACAGGCAGGACGGGCACGGGCTGAGATGGATGCTTCGATGTAACTGCTACGCAAGAGACCTTTATTTAGGCAGATCTTTAAGGAGCGATGACTATACCAAGCTTGTGACCAGCAAGCTCTTGTAACGACTGCAGTTGTAAGACTTGGGCTGTGAAACGCATCTTTGTTCCTCCCGTCCTTACAACTTGTGCAAGGATATTTACCAACGGGTACTGAAGAAGCCTTACCAAAAAATATATATTTTATATGACTATTCTCTTTAATAGTCTGTTCTAGTTGAAAAAACATTTTTAAAAGGGAATAGGCAAAGTGAGGTCTAACAGCCATGGTAGAGTAGTTAAAAGCAAGTAAAACCTGGGATATATCCAACTGTCATCAACTCGTATGTCACCTTGGCTAAACCAATCTGCTCCCCTTCTTCGAAGATATAAAATGACAGTAACATACACCTACCTCTGTAAAACATTTTAAGATGCTCCAGTTAAGCTAGCATCAAACTGTGCAACGTGCAAGCACCCTTTAAGTCCATCACCAGCTACAGAGTTTGCTGTCAAGACCCAACCACCTACATTTCAAAACCCATATGGAAAACGTAGCCCCCTGATCAGCTCACCCTCTAATGCAGCCACACCTAAGAAAAATAAACCCCATGCAATGCATTTGTTAGAAAGCCAACACAAGCCTGCACTTTGCCTTAGCTCTTTCCTTTAAGCGCGTGCTTTTACCAGCTCGGAGATGGATGGTGGAGGAAGCCACACAATCCAATTTCAAGGGTCAGACTGAAGCCGCCTGCCCTTGACAGCATTCCCTTAAATGAACACATTCGGAGCAACTTGGCAATTACATAATAGCTATTGAGTACGAAAGCACATGCAAATTACAGGGTTCCTGCCTGACAGATTTCCTCCTTGACAGTGTGTTATGAGATCTAAAAACGGCAAGTGACATGGTAAGCAGTCGCTGAATTATATGGTACCTTCCGACATAATTACCATGTTATCGAGAGAACATGCTATTACTGTATATTTATAGGGTCACAGCCAGGCAATTACAGAGTAGCCACCCGCCTGTGCACATCTCGCAGTCGTGTAATACCAGGCTCCTTCGGAGGAGAGATCTGATGGTTGGCTTTGATCAAGGGGTCTTTTGGGGGCTTCCGAATGAGATTACATCTTCAGCGTCTACAGAAAAGACACCAGCCAAGTTACTCTTCACGATTCAGACAGAGCAGTGTTGGGGATAGGTAATTATAATTGGAATTGCTTCCTTACCGATCCCTGCGGTATTCTGACACATTTCTGAACGTTACAGCCAGCAGACACAAATGACCGAACAAGTAATAGGATGGAGCTACCCGGGACAGAGCTTTACAACCACGTGCTGCTGCTGTGACAAATACTGCCCGTAGACCCAGCAGCCCCATAGTTAAGAGTTCTTCTTCTCCCTTATTCCAACCCTTTACCAAATTAACAACTTGTACATTTGGGACTCAACCTTGCAGGGGTAATGTATTCCAAGAGCAAGATGCTTTTCTGCCAGGAGCTCTCTGCTGCTACTGTAAGCGAAATCAGGAGCTTGAGCAGTGCCAGCCCCCTCTCTGCAAAGCAAAGTGAAGCTGATGCTCAGTAACAGGTTTCAGAGTATTTCGGGCAACGCCATGGACTTGACCAGAAAAGCACAGACATGTAAATCAGAAATTCCACTGGAAGTTTTATGAGCTGATAAAAATCACCTGCCCAATCCAGGCTACACTCAACAGCTAGGATTATTTGAGGTCTATTTTGTCCAGGCACAACTTTATAAAGCCTATCTGAAGTACAAACAGCTCAAAAACGGGGGTCAGTGAGGAAAATGCATTAGAAAAAACAAACAAATTTTAAAAACCCTGCAGTATCACAGCCAGCATATTTAATTCACATGAAGCATGACACCATGTAGGGTTCTGTTCAGCTATGGTAAAAACTTCCACATTGAAAACCCACTCTAAATCTCAACATGAGAAGTTGGCTTTGTACAACTTTCCCAACACTGAAAGCTGAATACGAAAGCGTTTCTGATGTGATGTTTTGTATCGTGTAATATAAAGGATATCACCTCCATTTTCACCTCAATTTTCACCACTAACAAAATAAACTGAAAAAGACAATCATCATGCACAGGAAAATTATAGTTTAAGACATCGTTTCCTTAGTGCCATCTTAAAGGCATGTGCAGAATATGCACAGCTTATAGTTATAAGAACACTTTCACTGCAAAGGAAAAGAAAAAAAAATACTTAAGACAATTACAGCTCTGCAGATGCACAAATCAACTCTTCTCCAACCTGTCAGATAGCTATGCCTGGGAGTCGTGCCTTCCCCACACCGTGGCACAATGTGCGTTTTAAATGAGAACGAAAGTAAATGACATCAAAGCTGTACAGAAAGGAAACTAAAATGGTGCCTACTTAGTGGCTTTCACAAAAAGAGCTTCTAGAGGAAAGGGAAAGCTGATATATCCCCATATCCCTCCAGATACAGCAATGACAAAAAAACCAAACCCACAGATAACGGCCCGACCCAAGCAATGCTAAAAGTGATGCTGCACTTTGGGCGGAGGCAGCCCCAGATGGATCCCCTCAGAGCAATCTGTCCAAAGCAGAAATGATTCACATCCCAGTGCTGCTTTTGCTCGGTGTTTTCCCCCAGCTGCTACCCTGACAACAAAACCCAAGAAGCTTGTGCACTTCTCAGATGTCAGCCACAGGAGCCCTGTGGCCGTGGCTTTGTGCTGACCACCTACTCCCTGGGCTGACGTCTCGGGGCCATGCAGCCTGCACCAGCTCCTTCTTCACCTGCACCCCCCCCTTCCTGGGAAAAGCACCCATGTCCCTTCCTCCAGGCAGGACTCAGTAGTAAACCAGAAGGCTTTGAATCCACAAAACCACGTTCGATACGCGTCAAGTCATCCCAACGCACACAGCTAAGCGGGGAACAACCAAAGCAGCATTGTCAGACCTGTAAATGTTTGAAGCAGGTGAGACGATCGACTGTCAATAAGGACAGCTTTAAATTTTAATTGAGGCCCATTAGCTTAGTAGCTAGGGATTGCCCCCCAAATGGCACAGCTCTATTTGCAACTACTACTGGCCTTATTTCTCTACTAGTTTGAAGTGACAGGGATACAACACACGCTGAGTACATGTAGGATATTGAAAACAGAGTGCTGCAATGGCAAATCATAGCATATAGAGGATTAGATTACTCTTAGAAAAACCAGACCAAAGCCACTAACACTGAAGGCAATCCTGGCTTTGTCCATCAAATCTGGTGTACAGCTTTGCCCACCTTCCCAAGAAAATGACTCCTTTTAGATTGTGCCAATTTTTACCCTATTGACAACATATGACCTACCAGGAGAATTACTGAGATGAAGCTAGCAACCAGCTGTGTGTAAACATGAAACGGGTTCTGTGTTTATCACAAACTTGGGAAACATTTTATTCCGATAGTGCTGACACCTGCATTCACTGTATCAGCTCTCTTTTTGCATTCCTACCCTTGCGGCAACATCTGCAGGAAAAAAAGGGCGAAAACAAAAGGCAAATACTCTACTTGAATTGCTGGTCTTTGGTGCTCCTAGTTTTAGCCAGGAATCTCTCAGCCAACTTCTCCAAATTCCTTGAGTAATCCATCTCAATCTCTGCCTTCTTGCGGAAGAAATCCTGCAAGTCCTGCAGTAACTGGACCCGAAGCTCACACTGTTGGTCAAGGCATTTCAGCTGCTCTACCAATTGGGCACGGATCTCTGTAACAAATAAAAGCACTAAAGATTAAACAAAATCCCATTAGAGAAAAGACCATAAAAATTCTCCAGTAAAATATAGTTAAAAATATATTCCCTCATTAGTAGTATGTCAGCAAAGCTCCATTACGGTTAATTTTATCTACAGACAGAAAATGATTGCGATTGCATCTCGGATGCACCGGCTGCAGGCAAGCCATCCAACAACCTGCAATCCGGCGCGCAGATCTACAAGCGAGGCTTTACTTCTGAACAGTGCATCAATTACAAGTGTCAAGTGCATTTTTGGCATCAAAAAGAAGTGGTCACTGCCTAAAAATGTACTGAATCTCAGTCTGGAAAAAGGACTGAATGCTGCAATACCCCACGTCAGCTCAGAAAATCACTTCAGGGAATTTCTATCAAATTCCTTCGCAGACGGCTCTTGATGCAGAAACAAGACGTTGTGCACACTGGGGCACTCCCCAAAGGCACCGATTTTGGATTATTCAGTCAGTTACTGAGTCTCCAGCTGTGCAGCTCTCATTATAAACCAAGCCATCAAAACAGATAAGGACACCCCTTCTGAGAGCCAGCACGATAGCACTTCCCATTAGGGAATTATCTCCAGGAAGACTGTTTTTCTTTCTAAAATATCTGCAAGTAACATATCTATGTCTAAAGGACCCATAAAGCACACAGATATAGGTGTTAATTTTATTATTATGCATAATTGCTACTGAAGAGATCTATTGGTATTTACACACTATTTCACAAACCATTTCCCAGCATTTTACAACTATGAAACCTTCTCACATTAGCCCTTAAGCCAGGGTGTTCTTCTCCTTATCCTACCGATTCTGAATAGCAAAAAGACAGACAAAGGGGGCAAGGAAACACAGAACTGCATCAGGCCCGTAATCTAAAAATGCAGAAATATTCAGTGATGCAGCTAGTAGAGGTTATTTGGCTTTTCTACAGGCAATAAACTCCACAGGAAAACAACACAACATGCACTTTCATCTAAAGATCTTTGAGCTTTCAGACTTTAGAGATGCCTGCTATTGCCTGACTGTTATTGCTGCTCTTTCCAAAGGTTTCCAGAGATGGGTGGTTCCAAGCTGAATTCAGAATCAGCAATAAAATAGGCAACATTCAGGTCTTCAGCACACACAGCTTTGTTTATGTCCGTGCATTGCAACGGCAGGCACCCACAACTTTGTCACTGTAATTATCATTTTCCAAATGCAATTTTTTTAATCAACTACTTCATTGCTAATTCCCGAGATACGTAGTAAGAGAGGCCAGCTTGGCCTCCTCCTATGCTTGTCCTTTTGCCATCCGGGCCTCCAAGAGCTTTACTCTTGCCATGCACTATGAGTATGAGTTGCCTTGAATTGTGCTCACACCTGCAGGAACAGTTTCAGGGGGTCCAGGATTTGCAAGGAAGAAAGCATGTGTCTTTATCTGAGGGACTCCAAAACCCAGGACGTGTGTATACACATACGGCTCCTGGTTAGGCTTGCCAAAAAAAAAAAAAAAAAAATCTGAATAAATGGGGGGTTTTCAAGCTTGAAGATGACCTTGATTAGCACTTTAATTTGGTAGCACCACTTCTCTGAGACTGTACTACCCAGGGGCTTCTGTAGCTTTCACTGCAAGGAGAAAATACAGGCGGCAAGGTCACAACACAGACCGAAACGCAGTAGTGAGAACCATGATGCGTGGGCAAAGTTGGTCAAGTTTATTTTTTTCTCAGGAGAGAATTTGGAAAACAGAAAACTTCTGTCTCTTCATCAGGAAATACGACAAAAAAATACGCAGGCCTGAGCTGTCCACCTACTTCTTTGACCAAAACCACTTCGGCACGTCTGTTCCTCGGGGCCCAGGGACGCCCCAGCCACGCTCCCCTCCCCAGCCCAGGCGGCCGCAGCAGGAAGGCTGTGGGCTCAGCCTGGGCAGGGCCCAGCACCCTCTGGTCCTCCCGGCACGGCTGGCTGCAAGGGTGCTGCCGAAACCAACCCAGAGGAAGCCACAAGGAGCCTCAACCCTACTGTGCTCGCAAGGGCACAACCCTCGGCCCGCAGGGAGGGCGGCACGGGGAGGCATGAGCAGCACAAGGTAAAACCTGCGCGTTGTGTTTCTTGCAAGTTTGTGAGATTTGTTTGCGAGATTTCTTTGTTGGTTGCTCAGTTTCAGGTAGCAAAAGCATTTCAGGATTAGCGGGGGCTGGGAGGGGCACAGGGGAAGAACAGGTGCTCGCAAGGGCACAACCCTCGGCCCGCAGGGAGGGCGGCACGGGGAGGCATGAGCAGCACAAGGTAAAACCTGCGCGTTGTGTTTCTTGCAAGTTTGTGAGATTTGTTTGCGAGATTTCTTTGTTGGTTGCTCAGTTTCAGGTAGCAAAAGCATTTCAGGATTAGCAGGGGCTGGGAGGGGCACAGGGGAAGAACAAATAGTTGTGCGCATTAGATCTGCTAGCCCTTATTTAAAAATCACTGTTGATGCTCAACATATGCTACGTACATTTTCTCCATTCAGCTTGGTCCCCAATTAGAAAACTACGAATGGATTTGCAAAACTCCGCATGAGGGACAGGTTTACTCAATGTGCAATGAAAACAAGACAACCCCACTCTACCTGCCGCTTGGTCATTAAGACTTGCGTAAAGAAAACGAGGTGAGGTAGCTACATGCTAATAGCACCAACATGCATGGTAACGCAGGGCAACGAATCAGGCTGCCTGGTCCTTCACCTAACACTCATCTGCAGGCCTGACGTTCAACCAAGAACATCCTTCGAGGCAAGCAGTAGTAGAAAGCTCTTCCTCTCTTTGAGTCTTCTCCTCCACCCTTTCCTCAACAAGTGATGGTCGCAACTTAGAAACAACTCTACAACCTTCTCAGAAGTCTTTGGGCAAAGGTGCCAATTTTAATCAACTGTGGTTTAGCTCCTAGACTCATGAAAAGGTATCACACAAAGAAAATACTTGAGCTGATGGGGCATTTTCTCCTAAGCAGATAAAGAATGAGGCACGGAATTAAAAATGCAGCAAATACCTTCCTTGAATATGATGTGTTTGCGCATTTAGGGGTTGATCATCTGCACAGTGGTGTTTTTCAGAAAAAGTCTGCTACCCCATTAGCATGGATGAACGGTAGGCACCACATTTAAAAAGAAGATTGGAATAGGAATAGAAAATACCAGATATAGCTCAGACAGGTAATGGCAGGGCTACCTACCCCGCATTCATCATTTCTTCCTTCTGTGTGCTACGACTGATGGATCTTTTAAAGGCCAACAACCTGGCAAACTCTGAGGCTCTCCATCAGTCATGTTCTCAACTAGTGCCAGGAGAAAAAACAGAAATCCAAAAGACCACTTCCAAGAAAACAATAGTTCTCCAAGACTAGAAGATCAGCAGAGCATGTGTATTTTAACATGAATATTACAACAAAGGTCTTGGTTCTCAGGGTGGGACACTTCACACGCAGCTCTCCTGCTAAACAACAGCAAGAACTAGTAACCTTTTCCTTTAGTAAGAAATGCAATATCAGCGCTTTCTCTTTATAAATAAACTCAGTGTTTTTTGAGGGGAACAGCGACAGCTGATCGGGCTGCCCGCAGGGGAACAAAAAGCTATTCAGCTCCAGCTTATCAAGTCTGTGGCGCTGGGCTGGAGAAGGGCAACCTTGCTCATCTTTCAAAAACACACCACACAGTGCTTTGCCACAAAATAAAATCAAGAATGCAGGAATTTCCTGAGGCTTACTGGGCTTTCCAGAGTATAAAGTGTCTGCTTGTTTTCCCATTGCTTACACAAGCAGAAGTTAATTTTTTTTTCAGACTTACTCCGAGAACATACCACGGCAGAATCAGAGGCTGTGCGTGCTCGAACCCCCGGGTCACCGCATTACACGGGACCTTTTCAAGTCCACAGTCACAACAACCACTTTAATTTTGAATTCACTGCTTTCGCATCTTCTAATTTACACAGGTTATTAGATTAACAGCCACTTTAAACACCAAAAAAGCCTTCCACCTCCCTGCCTTCCCTAAACTTTGTAGACCTTAGTGATCCCACCCACTGTGATCGTTCAAGACAAAGAACAGCATCCTAAAGTCCGTGCTCCTGCTGCCAATGCTTCAAGGCCCGAAGGTGAATAAGCACGTTTAATTCAAGGTCAAGATGCCTGTTGTAGAATTAGGATTAAACACCAGGTATTCTTACTCTCACACTAAGCCTTGCCCTGTATTGCAGAGTCCTTTCCATCGTATTTGTAGCTCACATGGCTGATAACTACCTAATTAAAACGTCCCTAGTAGCAATTAAAAAGTTTTCCATCCGTTTCAAACAAGCAATTTATTCACTTCCATCACCAGATCATGGAGTCATCTCTGTCACAGAGGGACAGTGCTGTATAGTGCTAGGCAGTTGCATAATTTTACTTTTTTGCACCTACCTTTTCGTCATTCCCTGTAGCACTCTGCAGGCATGCCTAGTTATTAATGAATTCAAAGGGTAAGGAAGGATTTTTTACCTTCTGTTTTTTAGTCACATTTGTCATTCTCAACATTTATAATCTACCTGACTTTTTTCCCCCCCCCCTTTTTAAACTCTGAAACACATTTGTCATTCTCAACATTTATAATCTACCTTTTTTTTTCCCCCCTTTTTAAACTCTGAAGCATATAAAGTACTGATAGGCACAAATGATACTGCATGTATCTGCATGAAGGTAATTGTCCCTGAATAAAATGCTGGCATTTAAGTGACGGTGCCTCTAACACTTCCAGGGAAAGGTCATCACCCGTAGTTTCCATCACAACAAAGCTAAGAGACAAGCTGCCACCATACCTGGTCATATCTTTAAAAAACATGGATGGTCTTCACGAATTGATTGTTCCTGCTTGAAAAGGCCGCTAGTTTGAACTAGATGAGGCTCTAGGTGACACGGCAAATCCAAGGTCCCAAAACACTGCTACCCTACAATTTTGGGAAGGATCCAGTAAAATAGTAGGTT